TCAACAGACACTCGTACAGTTACTCCATTATTACTACAGTTTACCAGCACATTATGGGTGAGTAACACAAAGTATCAATGTCTTCTAGAAAAGACATGTTTGCTTCTTCAGTATTTCCTAGATGTCACATTCGATTAATGTGATTCAATAAGATATTTTCTGATAAACAGATGTAGTGGGCGTGTCTAGAGCGAGCGGCTATTCAGGAGGTGGTCTGATGATCAAGTGTGAACATCCTCAATACAAAACCAAGCCAAAATACATCTGTAAAGAACCAGACGGATGTTCAGAGAGGAAGAATCCAGGAGTTTGGGGGTCCAAACTTTTCCACAAAATCGGTGCCTTTTCCACATGGAAAAATAGAAAAATAAAATACGTTTAATCAACATGTTTTGAATATCCATGAAATGAAGACACCTTAAAATGACAAGAATTTGAATTGTGCCATCTCAGGCTATGTAAATGTATTATTTTATGACTATTTTTCTACCTCATGTTTTGGTATTTTTGTCAACCCTGTTACCAACACAAGCGTTAGTAGATACTGTAGTTTAATTAGAACTCATATGCCACTGAATGATTATTGAGGCATTACCTCAATAATATATAGAGGGTGACCTTTAAAATGTTTGATTTTTACACAGACAGTCTTTAAAGACAGGGTCAAACCTAATCAATGCCATCCCTGTTACCCACATGTACTCTAAAAAGTAACAGGTTGACAGTAACAGGTTTGAGGATTTCAAACAAATTGGCTAATTACTAGCTAATAGTCAAGTTCACAAAAGCACATGTTATACACTTTGAAAGGATTTTTACTTGTAAATATTGCTTATATTAAATGTAAGAAATATTTGTTTAAATTTACATTTTAAAAATGGTAACAGGTTTGCAGAAGCGGACAGTAGTGAAGTATGTTTACTCTGCTGTAAAAGTACATTTCAAGTGTCTGTACTTTATGAGAGTGTTTTTCTTTAGAAAACTTTACTTCACAACATTCCAAAGCATAATATTGTACTTTTTACTGCACTACGTTTCATATTAAATATCATTTATTACTTAATTACAGTAGAAATATATTACTTTCTTACATTTACTCAAGTAAAAATAATTCAAAGATTTACTTGAGTACAAGAAAGTACTACATTTTTAATGTTCTTATGTATTAAAGGTAAAACAAACAACAACTTTCATTTATAAAATGAAGTGCAGTAAAAAATATGACATTATGCTTTGGAATGTAGTGAAGCAAAGTTTTCCAAAGAAACACACTGATAAACTACAGATACTTTTTAAATTGACTTGAGTAAATTAAAAATACTTCACTGTTGTCCGTCTCTGCAGGATTGACATTGCATGATAGCCCCCCTCAGTCAAGCCTCATAAATCATCAAAAATAGAACATCATAGAGGAGCAAACATGCTTGTGTTCAAGTGCAGGAATCCTGGTTGAGAGATGATGTAACCTCCTAGAAATTATGTCACTTGAATGCAAATGATTTGATAAAACAAGGGTTTTTTGATGAGGGTAACAGGGCTGACATGAAATCAGGGGACACCAACAAAATTATTTATATTTTAAAGAAAGAATTGCATACTTATGCCAAAAATACTACTTAACAATGAGACTATATTTATTTAGAACAATATGCAAATGTGATTTTTATATATTTTGCCTTCATTTGCAAATTAAAAGTCCTGCTGAAAAAGAAAAATCATAGTGAGGGACAGGCCGAAAACCTTACCAGCATAAATGCTATTTAAATTATTTAAAATAATATTTAATTGACATTTGTATGTAATATTGATGAAACCATGCATAACATTGTTATGCTTTTAAATTACACATTTATTTGTTATTATATTAAATTTATGTTTGATTATTTCTTAGAGACACCAAAGCAACAAATTTCACGGAATAACACTTTGAATAAATGGATGGAGAATGGAGATGTTTCTTTATATGACGACACCAGAGCAGGAGTCTTGATGGTGTTTTTTAGAGAGCTGAAAGCTGCAGATGCAGGAACATACAGATGTGGAGTGAAAGTATCTGACTATACTGAGAGCTTCACTGAACTTCAGCTGAGCGTCAAACACGGTGAGGAACCGCAAATAATTTATCTTGTGTATATAAAGTAATTTTTCTTGTCTGTATGTTAACTTGTTTTGGTTTTGTAGATGCAAAGTATCCAATGGATGTGACTAAAACTGCTTATCTTGGTGAAGTCAACATCACCTGTCAGATCCCAGAGGAATATAAAGTTCATTTCTGCAAAGAGGAAGATAATCACATCTGCCAGAACATCAGCTCATCTGAAGTGACACAAATGAGTGGTTCATCTGAGAGAAATGAAGAGAGAGTTGTTACAGTGAGCATCAGTAATGTGAGCGTGAGAGATGCTGGAGTTTACTGGTGTGGAGCAGAAACCAGAGACACATATCTGACTTTCATCTCCCTGACCACTAAAATTCAGCTCAACCTCATCAGTGAGTCCATTCAGATGATTTCACTGTAGTAAATACAGTCTGTTCAGAATCATGTGTGTTGAATGTCTGTTTGTTTTCAGTGGCACCAGTAGTGAGACGTGAAGGAGAATCTGCTGAGATCTTCTGCCCTTATGATTCAATCTATAAATCAAAGCCAAAGTCTCTCTGTAAGGGGAAGTGCTCCACTAGAGACAGAAATCCTCTCAGTGAGACTGTGAGAGAAGAGAAAGAGAGCAAGACTGACAGATTGACTCTGAAAGATAACGTCACTGCACGTGTCTTCACTGGGAGCATCACTGCACTGACAGCAGAGGATGCTGGGAAATACTGGTGTGCAGTGACATTAGAAACAGAGCTCAGTTATCTTCACACTCATCTGATGGTCATCATGAACGAGGGTGAGGAAGGTTTATTCATCTGAATATGTCAAACTCCGGCTGTGAATTGATCTTCTTGTGTCTGTAATCATTTCCAGAGCTGAACTTGACTAAGTATGAAGGAGACGACGTGTCAATCCAGTGCAAACATCAGGATGCAGATCAGAAAAGCTTCTGCAAAGCACATGAAGCCTCCATGTGTGTGAAGGATGGAGTTTCATTGGAGACGATCAGAGATGATCGATTCTCTTTCAGTGATGAAGCATCTGCTGGAGTCTTTACTGTGAACATCACTGATCTGAGAGAAGAGGATTCTGGGATATACTGGTGTGGAGCTCACGTCACCACTAAAGTGACCCTCAGCGTTAAAAAGGGTAAGATAGTTTATCATTTATCCATTGTTTTTGGTTCAGATTTAAATATTCAGAAATCAGCTCATGAACAATCACTCAAGCATCGTGGCAGCACGTGGAATGTGTTTATTCTGATGTTTAAAATATGAATGCTATTTCAACAACAGTGTATCAAAATGATGAGATAAAAAGACAGTGTACCATGAAATAGTGGTAAGAAAAGGATTAAGTTTGTATTAAGTTGTTTTCACAGAACACACACATGCAGTGCACCCAGTGTTTACTGCTTTATGAACAATTTACTCTTAGAAGCTCATCAGTTATTTTAATCAATTGTTCAAAAAAGTTTTTTAAACTCACAAACTCAGTCAGAGCTTTTACTGAATCAATATCTGACAACTTTCTAACCTGCAAGATATCAGAGGCCTAACGTTTTCTCACTGGGTTAAAATGATGAACCTTCTGCTACACACCAAGCAGACGAATGAGTGTAGTCTACTATATGATCATGTTTAATACAGGCCTGTTCAAACAGGACGAGATTTCCCTGAGATTAGGCAAATTCATCGTTCACAAAAGACGACTAATTCTGTGTGAATCAAAACATTTGTATTTTGTTTTCTCTGAAAACTATGGAGCAAAATACTGATGTTAAGCTAACTCAAAGTGTCCTCTGATGTAATCCTGTGCAGATATTATGTCTGTGATTGTAGTATATTGAAGCAGAGTTAATGAATATAACAGTTGAGAGCTTTAAACTTTTTTTATATTCTGACACTGGCCCTGTGTCTCTTCTTTATTGTCTCTGGTTATCTTGTGAAACTCTAAATATGGCCATAGACACAGTTTCCTCTGTAGCGAGAGAGGTGAGAAAACAAGACGTGTCCAAACTCACAGTATAGCTTTAGTTGCTTGTGACGGAAAGTGTTTAGTGTTTTCATTTCACGTTAAAACCACAGAGATGAGCTGAAGGTCCAGCGTCTCAGTTTAATTCGGCTGTGAAGAACTATTGGCCTTTATTCAGGAAACACACGTGAGGCTCAACAGAGGGATGAATGTAGGTTATGTGTAAGTCTGCAGATGAGCGACGAAAACACTCTCATGTTACTGCAGAATAATTCAGCTTCATGTAACATGAATAAATGAAATGTGAAGCATGATCATTAAACTCACAAAGACTAAACTCGTTCCTTTATGACAAACATTGTATTTTATAATATTATTTATATATATATATTTAATATATTTTATGTTTTATTCTCAGATTTCTTAATGATCATCATTATCAGTGTGTGTGTGATTCTGCTGCTGATCGGTGGATTCACTCTGACTGTGTGCAAATTAAGACACAAGAGACGAGTCGCCGCTCACTCACAGCTACCCACAATCCCCTCTGATGGGCTCCTGTACGCTGCTGTCAGTTTCCAGAAGCATGAAGAGTCTCTCAGTGACGCTACAGTCAGATTCAGTAAGAATGAGATTCACTCTGATTACACCGTAGTCAGTTACCGCATGAGACTCAACTAACTCACTTATAACACACACATTTCCAACATTTTACATTTCATTTTGCATTATAAAAATCTATTTAAATCCATAACTTAGTGTTAAACAGACGTTTGGTTTGATTAAGGTAGTTCAGTGAAGACAGAAAATAACCCCCCTGAGTGGCACTTCTAGAATATACTGTAAAGTTTCCACTCCACATATAGAGACACACAGTACATTTTTAAAATGCAGCTTTTGACATTCGATTTAATAAAACCTCTTCTATAGCAGCTCTTAAACAGACACAAGTTCAACCAACCTTTATGAGACACACGAATCTGTTCAGAGCTTTTAAAATGTCTGTTTTCTTCTTCTCATCTCTGAGTTTTGATCTTTGCACATTTATAATTCTTGGTATTTGTTGATAAATGTGTTCATGATTGTAATAGTGTCATTATTTTAGCACAGCGAAAACTTCAGCATTAACTTACTGACAGATACTTTTGCTGATGTTGTTTTCAGTTCAGTCTTGTTCTCTTTGTTCTTTTTCATTTTTTTCTGATTTAATAACGCCTTATATCTTTACTGTAGAATCATTTTATTGAAAAATAAATATTTTGGAAAATTATTTCTTGTTTATTGTCCAAAGCTGTTATTTAAAATCTTACATTAAGAATACAATCCTTACAATAAAACAGTTTTATCAGTTCTGCAAAGGAGAAAGTCTGAAACCTTGATATAATTGTATTAATTTTAGTTTTATTTACATTTTCACATTTTAACTACATTCAGGCTATTTAAAATCTGAATATATATATATATATATACTATATGCACATTTTTAATCTGAGATAGGTTTTGTTACATAGTTTCTTACGAGTTGTTTTTTTGTGTGTGTGATAAACGCACCATTTTTCCGTCCAGCTCAAAACCACAGAAAACTGGTGAAGGTTCAGCGTCTCAGTTTAGTTTGAGTGTGAAGATTAAACAGACTTCTTCAGGAAACCCACAGTGAGACACATGACACTGAACACAAGACAGAAGATGAAGACTAATATCTGCTCAGTCTGTGTTCACCTTCAACATTTACTGAAATTAATGAATTGAGAAAAAGAGTGAAAATGTTTATGATCAACACATTATCTATGTGTTATTTTACAGTATGTTTTACATCAAACAAAAACAAATCAATGACCAAAAATGTCTATTAAAAATGCTTTGAATGTCGCTGCTGTATTGTTTACTGCATTTAGTACATTTACATTAATTTAATAACATACTCTTTAACCCAGTATTTTTTTTCTTCTTTTGTTTTTAACTAGGTAAAGTGACTTGCTTGTAAAAGTCTCAGGGCTTTGTGTTTGCAGGGTTCTTTATTAATGTGGTCAGCGTGATAAACATCTTTAACATGTGCTGCTCTTCAGCTCTTTTTTTTTTTTTTTGCCTTTAAATTCTTTTGGTCAAACCAAAGACCTTCAGCCCCCTGCTTGTGTGATAAAAACAGGAAATAGTTTTTCAGTACACACCCTTAACAAATTATCCACTCCATAATAAATATGCTGTATGCATATGATGTGTGTAATATATGAAAAAAAAATTAGATCTGCCTCCAAATGGTTTTATTGTAGATATCTGAAATATTTATTAGATGGAAGCTCAAAAGTGTTTTTGCTAACAAGTACAACCAACTGTAGTAATAAATAAGTGTGCATTATAAAATATCGAACCCCTCAGAGGCTTTTGCTCTCAGTTGCACTGGAATTCCTCATGCTGTTGTTCATTAGCCTTGTACTCAGAAGACCCGAGATAATACATCAGTATTTTGAAACGGGAAATCGTTTGAATCGTTTTTGTGTCAGACTGTCAGATGGCACATAACACTTTCAGTTCTTATTTAGATTATAAATATTCAAATATGAAAAAAAGACGCACACACTCGAAGGCCAATGAGGATCAAGCGCAGTTCTGGACTCCTCCCTTTTGTCCTTATATGGCGCTGAGTGCAGCGAGTCTGTTTGAATGTAAAGAAAGTTCGCGGGTAAATCGTCCTATAAATGAACAGACAGATCAACGAGGACAAGATTTCAGTGAGTAATCATTTACATTTGGATCTGTTCCTCACACAAACCTATTGTATGTCTTCAAAAGAGATCTTAACAAACTCAAACAACATGTGACTAAAATAAACGATGGACTTTACTAATTATACAGTATATACGCATCATTATATTAAACATGTGCTAAGATATTACAATGACTCATTTCAAACAATATATCACACTAGATTTTTACATATTCAGAATATATGAAACTGTATGAGCACTATTATGTTGTGAAATTTATTTAAGGATAGTGTGTTTTAAGGACAGAATAAAGACATGAGGACAATAAAGACACTGCATTGTATAGTTTGTGAAAGAATAATGTGAGAGTTTGAGACTCTAAACGCAAAATCACAGTATAATCTATTTCATATTTTTATTTGTGTTCTTGTAAGCTGTGCAGACGACCTCTGTTGCATTTCTCTAGTTGTTAGTGTTTGTGATGTCCTGTTCTCCACTGCATTTATTATAGTTTTGTAGCATACAGTAAACGCACAACCAGCTGTCTTATTGAAACCTCTGGCTCCCTCTAGTGGCACATATGAGGAAATGTTACATTTCTATGACTAGCCTAAACATTACTTGTCTTGGCTTCATTCAAATTAGTTGTATGCACTTGTATTGTGTGGTAGTGGATATAGAACAAACATTTATTTTCTTGTGTTCTGGTTTGATTGATTATAAATGACATTGATTTGCTCGCCTCCTGTATGTTCAAAAACAAAGAATGAATCTGGAGGAATTAAACCTTGTCCTAATATTTGATAATTACATAGAGGCATTATTTTAATGCAGATGTTGTTATGCTCAAAGTCAAAGTGAAGAGAAGGAAGCAGAAAAACTTATGTTCATCTGTCATCAGTGATGCTGAAGTTTGTCTGAAAGCTGCTGTCCGTGGTGCTGAATCCACAAATCTACCATATTATTAGTGGTTTTTATGCATAAAGTATCCACAAAAAAAACCCCCACAAATCTAAATCCAATGAGATATGGTCCGTTTCCTTATAAATAGATGCTGATGTTTCTTGCAGCTATTTTTTTTTCCCCCAAGAGTGGCTTTTTGTAGACTGTATGGAGCACGGTGAATTTATATGCACAGTTGTCCTCTAGTGGGAGATTAAAAAAATGCTCACCCTGATCTGAACTGCTTGAGTGTCATTTGTCCTCATATATAACATGAAACCTGTATGAGCTCTCAGTGTCAGACACTGTATATTGCACTAGGTGGCGCTCTTTCAGTGTGATTAATGTGATATTCAGTCAGTGGTGATGGTGGGAGGAGCCAGTAAAGCTGCTCATTACTGATAAAGAGCTGAATAAAGAGGAAGTAACTAAAGCAGACAGATGTAGAGACAGAGATATTCACACAGAGATCATTCACCATAAAGAAGACTGAACTCAAGTCACGATGAAGATCCTCCTCATCTTCTTCACTTTTTCCCTGATCTCAGGTCAGAGCTTTTCTCTTTCATCACTGCAGTAATGATGCTGTTTTCTGTTCATCAGCTTTCTGATCACAGTATTAATCTGATTGACAGCTGCAGGGAGATGCTTTAGCGTCACGGGATATTCTGGAGGAAGTGTTCTTCTTGAGACTGTCAGGTCTTCACCTGATAACAATCACAATCTGCAAAAACAAACCAATGGCAAGTGGGATATAATAATAGAGAACAAAAAACAAGATAAATGGATTAATAAAGGAAGATACACTTTGTATCTCAACAAAAACAGAAATGTAGTGCTCTTAATCAGAGAACTAAATGCACAGGACTCTGGAAGATACAAGATTGGACTTTCAGGTTCAGAGGTTATTGATATACGTTTGAATGTGATAGATGGTGAGTAATTTTGACATATTATGAACTACAGACAAAGAAGGGCTGAATTTAATGAATGCTTAATATCCTTTTTTTTTTTTAAATGGACTCTGGGGGCAAGAAGGGATCATGACAATGGATCCATTTACCTACAGTATAGCTGTTGCGTTACAGTACTTTATATTCAATTTTAACTGGTAACACTTTACAGCAACACTCTTAAAAATAAAGGTGCTTCAAAAGGTTATTCAAGCAATGCCATAGAACCATTTTTATTCCACAAAGAACCATTTAGTCATAGGTTATATCTAGAACCTATATAGAACCATCTCTTTCTCACCTTTTTGTAATCTGAAGAACCTTCTTTCGCCACAAAGAACCGTTTGTGAAACAGAAAGGTTCTTCAGATGTTAAAGGTTCTTTATGGAACCATTTAGACAAAAAGGTTCTTCTATGGCATCGTGAAGCACCTTTATTTTTAAGAGTGAAGGTTCAATTTGTTAACATAATTTATTAACATGAACACAAATTTTGCAGCATTTATTAATCTAGGTTAATGTTCATGTATTTAGAAATTGAATACTGTTAATAGTTAGTTAATGTTTGTTCATAACACATTAACTTATTGGTTTCACTTTATTTGATGGTCCCTTTAACACATTCTTAACATTGCACCTAACTCTCATTAGAGTATTAGTAGACTGGTTAGAATAAGTTGACATGTACTTGCAAAGTTACTTATAGTCAGTAGAATGTCTTTTGGGAGACCATCACAATAAAGAGTTAGCAGATATTAATCAGAGAGTTTACCAATACTCGAATGAGAGTTAGAAGACAGGTGCAACGTTATTTATTGTCAAAGGAATGTTCAAAAAGAACAATTAAAATAAAGTGGTATTTATGCTCGTTTATACATATTGAGATGTTAAAATATACATCTGTATTTTGTACGAGTATCTGTTTGGGTTAACCTAGATTAATAAATGCTGGGGACAATTATTGTTCATTGTTATGATACTTAATGCAACTATGTTAAGAAATTAAACCTTATTTTGTTGTAAGTTAATTTAAGTGACACACACTGCTTTGGCTGACGTTTTGTGCTTTGCTGAACTAATATCACAGACATAAAAATGACATGCCGTTTTTATGCAACCTCATTACATCTACTTAACAAAACATCACATGTTATATAAATGTTCTATTTTGTGTAAATGACAGATCCATGTTGTAAAGTGTCAAAGAGAGTGGAGGGGAGAAGGAAACGAACTTCCATCTTTAAATGTGAATATTCACAGAATCATATTAATAATCCCAAGATCATATTCAAAGAGGGAAACGACTCCATTGATAAGATTATAAACAGCACATTGAAAAGGAATGGAAGGTTCAGTATGTCTGAAAGAACAGATCAAAAATACATAACTTTGGTAATTTCTGCTGTGACACCAGATGATGGAGGAGTTTATTTGTGTGGAGTTCATATCAATACACTCTCATACAGTTACTCCATTATTACTACTGTTCTTCTACATATTGTTCAGGGTGAGTCCACTGTAGATCCAGATGTTACCTTTCATTGCTGTAACCCAATACAGTCATTCTGAGTTTAATGTTTAATAATATATTTCACTTGAATGAAATCAAATATGTTATCATTATATTATTATCATTTGATGTATACATATAAAGTGATATTTGTGATTGACAGATGTAGTGGGCGTGTCTAGAGTGAGCGGCTACTCAGGAGGTGGTCTGATGATCAAGTGTGAACATCCTCAATACAAAACTAAGCCAAAATACATCTGTAAAGAATCAGACGGATGTTCAGAGAGGAAGAATCCAGGAGTTCAGGATCAATGGATGGAGAACTCTTTACTGTGAACATCACTGATCTGAGAGAAGAGGATTCTGGGATATACTGGTGTGGAGCTCACGTCACCACTAAAGTGCATTTAAATGTCAGCAAATATAAGGACAGGAGTAAGATAACTTTTTTATTTTTATATTATTTTCAGTGTCAAATATGAACACTTACAGATCTTCCAGTGTGAC